AGGACTTGGGGGTACTGGTGGATGAAAAGCTGGACATGAGCCAGCAATGTGCACTCGTAGCCCAGAAAGCCAACCGTATCCTGGGCTGCATCAAAAGAAGCATGGCCAGCAGGTCGAGGGAGGTGATTCTGCCCCTCTACTCTGCTCTGGTGAGACCTCACCTGGAGTACTGTGTCCAGCTCTGGAGTTCTCAGCACAGGAAAGACATGGACCTGTTGGAGCGGGTCCAGAGGAGGGCCACGAAAATGATCAGGGGGATGGAACACCTCTCCTCAAGGGGGCTTATAAAAAAGATGGTGGCAAACTTTTTAGCAGGGCCTGTTGCGACAGGACAAGGTGGAATGGCTTTAAACTAAAGGGGGGGAGATTTAGACTAGATATAAGGAAGAAATTTTTTACGCTGAGGGTGGTGAAACACTGGCACAGGTTGCCCAGAGAGGTGGTGGATGCCCCATCCCTGGAAACATTGAAGGTCAGGTTGGACGGGGCTCTGAGCAACCTGATCTAGTTGAAGATGTCCCTGCCCACAGCAGGGGGGTTGGACTAGATGACCTTTAGAGGTCCTTTCCAACCTGAACTGTTCAATGATTCTATGAATCTATGTATCTCCCATTTTGGCCTTGAAAGTTGCAGTGACTTTTAACTTATTAGTTTAAGCTAGTTTAGTTCAATGATTCTATGAATCTATGTATCTCCCATTTTGGCCTTGAAAGTTGCAGTGACTTTTAACTTATTAGTTTAAGCTAGTTTACTCCAAAGGAGCTTAACTGCACCTTAGATTTATCCTGTGCAGAATAAACGATGTTGTCAGTCCCTGGAGCTTCACTGAAGTTTCACTCAGCTGCCCTCTCAGGAGGCTGAGCAGCCAGCACTCCACAAACTAAACTCTCTTTGTGGGTTTATTTCTGTTAAGACACTTAATTTCAGCAGCTACTAAAAATTCTCCTGTCTGATGTCATTCCTGTGAAATAGAGCAAATTAGATGTAAACTAAACGGCTAAAAAATGAGACTTGTGGGGACTGACCACCCAGTCCTGCACTGACTGTGAATAAATCCATGAATCTTTTTATTCTACCTTCTCCACCCTCTTTTGGGGAGTGGCAAAGAGAAAGGAGCTCCCCAAGTGAATTGGTGACTATTACTTACCAAAAAACATAGACTGGGAATTATAAAAACACAGGATCTCATTCCTTTGAAGACCAGCAGGTGCAAGAACATTTTTTTAAGACAGACAACACAGCAAAAGGTAAAGACATGGTGTTTGGAAGAATCAGCATCTCCTCTGCAAGTAGGTGATTATTGGGTATCTGATGAAAATATCCAGAGTAACGTAAGGCAATAGCAGACACTGTGTCAGGAAATTCATTGTAAGGAAAAGGAGTTTCTAACTGAGAGTTTTCACACATACCAGTAAATGTTCAGTACATGTTGTTCTTGTTGTTCAAGGGCTATTTCCATTCTGAGACAGGGAGTAACTGCCTCTCAGCACACACACTCTATCTTTTCATCCACAGCTTTTAGACCAAAGGAACCCAGGTTTTGATGTGTAGTAGATGTTCCCCAGGTTTGTGAGACCTTGGATCACGCTTCTCATCAGAAGGAGTGGAGCACAGACCTAAGGGGACAAAGAAAGACACCATTTTTGACAACAGTCCTGGACAAATGGAAGCCAAATCCCAATTCTAAATATTTTGCCAGTATTTGGACTCTGTACTTCTTTTTATTGCAGTGGGTCAAAAAGAACAGGGAGGTTGGAATAAGAAACTGAAGTAATTTCCTGTTATTTATAAAGCTCATTATAGGGATCATAGTGAAAATGAATGGAATACTGTTGCTTATTTATTTGTGTGTTTTAATATTTGCCTACAGCCAAAGGCTCTGCCACCTGGTGGCTCCTAAATGAATAGTCTTTAATATTTGAAGTGTCTAAAATGGTGACTTAGGCTGAGGTTTCAGATTCTCCAGTTCTCTTGGAAATTACAGTGAGCTGGAAAGCAGCAGATCTCTGTTTCCTGCTGCTGATGGAACAGGTTTTGTTGATCTACACGGACAGTGTACTGGGGACAACTGTAGGACTCCACATGCATAGCAGATAAAAAACATTTCGTGCTAACAGGGGGCCACAATTAATCCTGAGCAGAAGAAAGGATGTTTCTGTCTGGGTCATATCATTCTAGTGAGCTGTCAGTTACCATTTCAATTAAAGTGTTCAATTATTCAGAGTTGCTTTGAAACTGGAGAGCTGTGTACTGGTCACAACATGCATATTCTGTTCTAATTTAGGCACAACTGTCTTATTAACACTCTCCTGAAATCTGTTCTTTTAAGATACTTAAAATGAAAGTGCACTTTCAGATTGAAAAAAACAGCAGAAACATTCATCCCTCTTGAGAGTTTTAAATTTCACCTACTTCTCATCCCTCTTCCTTCTTCCTGTACAGTCATTTGCCTTAGTGTTTGCAGTGAAGTTATATGGTATGACTGAGTTTGTGTATGTCTTTGTAAAAATCTGGTCATTTTATGTAAAGCTTTCTACTTGAGGGTGTTCAAAGACTGGTTGCCCGGATTTATTCAGGATCCAACCTGCACAGTATCCAAGCAGCACCCCTCAAGGCTAAGAGCATCAAGTTCATAGTGCCCAGGGACACTTGCCTACATGGTGGACATGGACTTGGGTCACTCCTGGTCTGGCCTCCAGATGGTTGCTGCCTCTACACAGAACCCAGTACTGTTGTGCTAGTTTTAAATGGGCATTGCCAAACTATTTCTTCAGAAAGATTTCAACAGGGCTTGCTTCTATTGTCTCATTGCTGTACAATGCATAAGTCATGCACAGGGAGTCTCCTCTTTCTGTTCTGGCTGTTTTCCTTTTCATGGTGTGTTTACTAGGGCATTGCTCTCCACCCATCTCAGCTCCGTCAGCTGAGCCCTGCCTCCTGCTCCCTTGGCATCAAGCCTGTTGTCAGGCCGTCCCAGCTCCACACCATGGCCCTGGGATGGTAAGCACAGCTGCTTGCCAAATTTCTGTTGAGCAACTCAGCGTGGTACTTGGAGCTTCAGTGCAGGCACCAGACAACAGCCCCAGGCTGCAGCTGGAGCTCCCCACTCCCCGGAGCCCTGCGAGGCCCCACTGCCACCACCGTGGCCTCGCACTGCCACCCTGCCGCCCTCAGCGGGTTCAACACCTCCAACGCCATCATGGGTCTTGTGTGTCATGACTCACAGAAGTTGAGGCATCTGTAAGAGGAGGAAGAGTCCCAAGTGACAGCACTTCCCCCTTCCTCGGATGTCCTCCCACCTCCTCAGCTGGTGTTAGGGTGAGTCAGAGGTTAACCCTCACACCGGCTGGCGACCACATCCCAACCTGGCAGAAGTTCCCAGCAGCATTGACTTCAGCAGTCCCTACCTCCATGCACTCTCTCGTGGAGGTGGCAAGAGGAAGAGAAGGGGCAAGCTGAAAATGTCAGCGTCTCCGGCACTATCATCCCTGTGCTGAGAAACAAATAAACAAAAAATCTAGTTGTGCCTGATGGATTTTTATAATGGAGTAAAAAAGTGCTCTTCCATTTGCTAAAAGCAGTTCTCAGTGTAAAATAAACTCTCCAAAGCCCTACTTGCTGGCCAATAAGTGACAATGAACTTCTTTTTTTTTTCTGGAATAACATTTTAAAGCAGTTTTCTCTGGCTTCTCTGCTCAGGTGGACAAAGACCCACAGCAGGAATGCCTGCATGGGTCAGACCGAGGATTAAGCCAGAATCCCGATTCCTGACAATGGCAAACAAGTGGAAGGTTAGGGAAAACATATAAACGGAAAAGCAAGTATAGAGTAATCCTTCCCCAGTGCATTCATCTACTGCCTGATGAATAACAAGGTAGGGACCGAGTTAATGAAGACTTGCATAAACTGAAACCTAAAGCTCTTCAGTTCATGGCAATAAAACAACTAAAACAACCATTGCAGCTTTATCCAGTGGTTCGAAGTCCAGCAGTTTCTAGCTCCAAAGATGTTAATTTGCTGCTCTCTATAGGGAGATGGCTCTGTGTTTTCCTAGATGTTCCCGGCCTTCGCTGTACATTCTCCAGGATCCTTTTCTTTGGTATCATAATATTCCTTTTTCTTTTGAATATGTGTGTCCTTTCTTTGTGTTTGGATGCACTATCCACATGTGACCCTCAGAATTTGCCATGGGCCAGGCCTTCTGCACCCAGTTTCACAGGATGCCATGAACCTCCTAAACCAACTGCATCCATATGGATGTTGAAATATAGGTGCTGATTTTCCCCATACAGTACTGAAATCACATTTCTGCAATAGTGGAAAGAGTTCTCCAAGCCTACATCATCTGGCCCCAGAGAAAGTTAGACCAGCAGTGAACATTCACCTGTCCATCAGAGATTCAGGAGTGGAATTTGCCTCCTTCCTTCTTACCACTCTGCTCACTGAACCACTGTGCAGTGTCACCAAGAGATCATTTCTCCTTCACAAGCCCAGCAGAGATGAGGTTTAGTGGACTGGGAAATGCATCCACAGGTACTGGCAGAAAATGCATGCATGGCTTTTAAACTGCATAAAAAAGAGATTATTTCATCTCATGGTCTCACGTTTCCTAAATTTGTTGTGTCACTAAATTGGTGTATATACCTATAATTACAAATACTTAATATTTGGCCGATCATTGACAGTGCAGTGAGCTTCTTTATGCCATGAAAATATCAAACCAAGTTTTTCAGGGAATTAGGGAATTGCTGTCAATAAAAATAAATAATGCGTTTATTCTTTAAGATAATTTTAAATTAGCTGCCACGGACTCACAGAACACAGCATTGTGCCGGAAGTCAATGATCTATAGCTCAGGTTCCAATCCCATTACAGTATGTAATTCAAAGTCTAATTTGTGTATTTGGTTTTCTCCCCCACACAGGAAACAGCAGCCTATAATGCTGTTAACGCTCTTCAGTCAGCCTATGGTATAAGATACAGATATGGACCTGCATCTAGCACTTTGTGTAAGTTTTCCTCTGGCACAGGTTTGTGACTTTGACCTACCTATAGTAAGAAGAAGATTACCCTTATTATAACAAAGAAAGCAAACACTGTTTAAAGTGAACTTTGTTCCAGTTGTGAATGGTGAAGAAGGCAGAAGATGAAGTTTTGTAACCGATTCAGTCAGTTGATTGCAGTAAGATTAACTCAACTGATGCAATAAAAGAGATTAAAATGTAATGCATTTGAGAAGCAAAAGCCAGCAAATAACATGTTCAGAACATATAAAAACAGATTTTTAAAAACAGAAAGCTAAACCAACATCTTAAAAAGCCTATCTTTATCAGATACTGTAAATGCACTACTAAGTTATAAAATATCTGGGAGGAAATAATTCAAAGTAGGTTTTATTTTTCACCATTACTTTGCCTCTCCTGTGCAATTGTGATAGATACAGCTATTCATAGAGCTCATTCTAAAATTTAGGGTGATGTCTTTAAAAGCTAGGTTTCAAATGTCTCTGTGTCTAGATGATGATAAATGATAGCAACAGTATCTTTATTTGGACATTTTCCATTTTTCAGAGAGCAATTTCAAATGCATTTTTCCCTATAACAAAATATCTTTAAAATATGCCTTTTAAATATGTAACAATATTTGTCAGGCAAGCCCTCCACATGGACAGGTAAGAGAAAAAGAAGTTCAATAGGTTTCAACGAGACACTTTTTTTTTTACTGCAACTATGAGGCCTGAATGCTCACGGTAATGATAACAGACATCATTGAAGAAGTGAGAAGCTTAAGTAAATAGCAAGATTTTTCACAAGTAACCTCCTGCATCTCCTCTGCTGTTGCTGTGTTTTGGCTAGAGCTCCACTATATTGTGGGCCTCCATCTCACAGCACGGTTGTCATCTTACGCTCATTACAGTGCAGTCAGTCACTATGTCAAAGGAAGAGCAGTGTGAATTAATGCCAGAATTGCACAGAAGACAGCAGGCCACATGAGAGATGGATCTTTATATAAATATAAGTGTCTTGGGTAATCAACATATGGAGATAACGAAAGCATAAGAAGCACACTTCCTCGGGAAGGTTTGTTAATATTAGACACCACCTATGCAAATGCTCTCACGCTGTAAGGAAATGGTGAGAAAACAAGACAGAAATTAAGAGAAAAGAATTTTAAAAGCACTTTGAAAAGAAGGTAGATCACTTTATCAACTTTCTCCCTTCTCCACGCAAAGGAATTGCCTAAAAAGCCCAAGTTAAACCTCGGAGCATGCAGATTTCCAGTCCAGCTGGGAGATCTTTGTGGAAGCAAAGATTTTAGACTGCACGCGCCTGGGGACAAGAACAGTTTGAGGCTTTATTCTAAATCAAACATATTATTAAAGTTTTGCTTTACACAAAGAAGCCATTAATTTTTTTCCTGTGAAAACCAAGGGTCTAATCCATATTGTGCTGAGCACCTTTCACCAGGTGCTGGGTGCCCATGCCCTTCTCTGAAGGGTCTTCAGGATCAGGGCAAGCAACAGCTGGAGCTGCAAGTATATTCACTGAGTCCTGGAGACAAAATGCCACAAGAACCCTCTGGTGCTTTCAACATGACCTACATTTAACATTTTTTAAAATTTTCTCTGAATTCCCTCTTTCAGATGTGAGTTCTGGTAGCTCTATGGACTGGGCCTACAAAAATGGCATCCCCTACGCATTTGCGTTTGAGCTGCGTGACACCGGCCATTTTGGATTTTTACTTCCCGAGACGCTGATCAAACCAACCTGCACAGAGACCATGCTTGCAGTTAAAAATATAACTCTTCATCTGCTGAAGAAATGCCACTGAGAGCTATTTCTAGGAGCTGGAAGTGAGTGTTTTACTCCCAGTGCTGATGCCTTTCAGTGTGCTCAGTTGCCATTCTAAGCTTGGCCACTTTGAAATTACAGAAGCTAATGGGAAATATCATATTGTTTCTACCAGATTTACTTGGTGAGAAATGGAAAAAATCATTTAATATCTGCTCTACAAAAGTCCATAAAGTTGATATACTAACTTAGTTACCAGTTTGGTGTAAAATAGTCTGTTCTTTTTGCAATAAAGCTTTGATTCTGCAACTTCAGTGGGGCAGGTCCAGGTCCACATACAGGTGCCTGAAATAAAACTCCACTTCCAGACAGTCCCTGCCCTTACTCCTTTCCCTAACAGGAAAGCTTCCCTTAGTGGGGTCTCTCGAAGCAAGGGATAAAGTTTACATTCACATATATGTACTCTGTGACCCAACACAGGCCCGTGTCTATAGCAGTAAATGGCACATAGTTGCAGCTGCCCGTGCTGCAAGTGGCAATGTGGCTTTCTTCTGCATGTATACATACATATGTATATGCACTTTTGTGATTTTTTTTTTTCATGTAATGCAAGAATTTGACCCAAGGTTTCCTTTAACTGTTTAGAGAAACCTATTTCAAACATATATATTGGGGTGGACTCAAAATCAACATATTGCCTTTGAAAATGTAACTTTCCTAGAGATGTGTAAGAATTATAATGAAATATTTTTGAGATATACAATACTCTGCTTTATGGAGAGACAAAGCAACTTGCCATGACTTGGAACTTGGAAGCTGGCAGTCGACCGGTGCATCTGGGTTCTGCTGTGGTCAGTGTCTGCCCGTTTCCATCAGCTAAGGATCTAGCCTTAAACTGTAATTAACTGATGTTAACTGATGTTTTATTTATCAGTATTCTTGCAGTGAGTTCTGTAGCTCTATGGCTATGTGGCTGTTCTTCTTGGAAGTCGTCTTTTTTGCATGTTTTAAACGAATTAATAATAGATTCTTAAGTGAGCCGGAGGTGAAAACAGAAGCTTTACAGCTGAAATACAGTGAATAAGCACCATGTTTGAAAGAATACTAATGAAAGCACAGAGAATATAACAACTTGTTGAGGGTTTTTTCGTACTTTTAAAATACTATTTTTTTGATCTTATTATACCTGCAAAAGCATATATTTTACTTTATTAATTTTGACTTTAATCTTATGCCACAACATGTTAAATAAAACATTTGTTAATAAAATCATCAAAGGCTTTTGAAGTATTCTTCATATTTCATTTAATTGTTAAAGCTTTAGTTCAAGGATGTGACAATTTTACCTATCTGTAAAACATTACTGACACCAAGAATGCGATATTTTAAAAAACCTACATCCTGTCTAAATAAATACTTGGACTTAGCAAATGGGCAACCTTTATGAGACTAGGGAGCACTGTATTTAATTAGGAATACCATTGTTCTCAGGACTGCAAAAGGCAATCAGTGAGCAAAGATGACAGAATTGCATTCTATTTGTTTAACATTTTGTTAATAAAAATATTTATTTTAAACAAGCTTTCTGAAAACCTGTTCAGATTTGATTAGTTCAGACTTGCTTGAGTAATGCAAGTTTCTATGCTGGTTTAATAAAAATCTAGGGGACAGAAGCTCTCAAAATATCTATCAGCAAAATTTCCAATTGCTTATGACCATAATCATTAAATATTTTAAAGACAGCAATAACTGTCTGTTGCTCTGCACAGATTCTTGACCAACAGTGTTGATGGTGTAAATTAAATATTAGCACCAATTGTTGTGAGTTATTCTGGATTTAGATTATAAGATTGAACTACTACAAGGACATAAGAGACTGAAGTGAAGGACAGAAGGCATGAGAGATGCCTAATCAGCATGAGGCAAATTTACCTCTGGATTGCTACAGTACAAACCTTTCCAAGTATGGGCCAGGAGAAACCAGATGCAGATGTTATGGTTTGATTCCTGCTCGTAGTCCAGCAGTTCGTCATATGAAACATTTCAGCTTTATCTTCGTACCATCACAACTCCACTGGTACTGAAAAGTAATTGAACTCTTGGAGCAAGAAAGGGAAAAACAAAACAAAACAAAAAACCTCTTTTAGTTACCAAAAGGACCTAACATTGTAGATCTAGTTGACCTTCTTGGACAGGAATAATTGCAAGTATTCTTACATTTATCTAAGAAGCTTTGACATTTAGAAGTACTTGATATCAAAAACAGTCCATGAATAAAGCTACATCCTGGTATCTGGATGGACTCAGCCTGAATACTATGTATTATGTGCAACTGAAAACTCTGAGCTGAGTTTTGAAGACCTGTGCAGGGCAATGTAGTGCCCCATAGCTGAATACAAGTGTAAACAGTCTCTGAGCCCTTTAATTTCAGGGTCACTAAAGCTGGTCACAAAGACAGTCACTAGAAAAGAACAAACCCTATTTCCTGAATTAAGAATTTGTAAGACAATTTATCAGCAAGAGTGATTCTAAACAGTCGTTTACCCTGAGGAAAGAACTACTGGAAATCAGCTATTTGGATATGGAACGACAGCATTTGTGACTTACAAATGTTACTTCTCTGAACAGCTCTTTTTATCTCCGTAATTGCTTACTTCTCTTCCCTTTGTACTTCTCTTCACCAGTCTTTATTGCCTACAGGACAACAGAATCGATAACTGGTCTTGAGAAAAGTGAACTTATTTTATGATCATAGGTATAGTTTATCATTCAACACAATAAAAAGTACATGAACAGCAAAACACTGGTTATTAACCCAGCAGTCAAAATCACATATATAATGATTATGTGAAATCCAGGAGTTACACTTCCATTGATTATTGATAGAATAATTATAACCACTTCTGCAACTTGGAAAAAGTGCTCAGACAAGCTTTTGTGAACATCTGTTCCTTTTTTTTTTTTTACAGCTTGTATTTTCTATAAACAAAACCCCGAAGGAAACAGGCCTATGCCTCTTCAAGTCACCCTCCCCAATAACAAAACAATTATCCTAAATTACCTTGAATCATCATTTATAAATTGATAAAAAATTGGCCTTTAGAGGTCAAAACAGGTATTGAGTTTGGTTGCAAACCTTGAAGAAAGAGCACAGCTGATGGGTGAAGCTCTCCATGTGTTTTTCAGAAGTTGCTTCAAAAAGGCCAATGTATTTGGTTACTCATGTAACATGTAAAGCCTATGGAAAACTGCAATCCTTTTTTGAAATTTCTGAGGTTTGAATAGAAAGAGTCCAAATGACCTTGAATGCCAACATGCATTTACTTCAAAACATCCAGTGCCAGTCTGCTTGTTTATAACAACCGGCAGTGTGCACACTGCGCTACCTACTCGAGGACCACGCAAAATAACTGTTCATCGAAAAGACTGCATCTAATTCTTAAGGTTGGGAAGAAAGCTTTATATTTCCTACTAAAAATAAGTTACTATTCAACTATTCTAGTTTATTCATGTTAAACAATCCCTTCCCTTTTTATGTTCACATTCAATTTAATGGTACCACTCAAAGAATAAGCTATTCGATAGCATAGGTAGAGTATAAGTATTTTTGTAAGCCCTAAGCACTTTCCTTTGGCTGTGCAAAACTACTGTATCATTTCCATAGTTCACTGTTATACAGCAGTCACATTCATTGTTAAAAAATGTTAGTCTCACACATAATGACTTCATGTTTTTGACTTCTGTGCCTAAAAGCCAGATGTTACCATTTTCATGCAGTACTTAGGTGATGGTAAAACACCAGAATAATATCTCAGATGCATAGAGATACAACTACTCCTCTGCTGTAGAAAACAGGAGAAGAGAACAGAAATTCAAATAAATTAGAGAGACTTTTTAAATATAAACCCCGTGACATTAGCTATACTTCTTTAAAAACATTTTTAAAGGCTCACCACACAAAATACCTTTTCTGAGTTGTAAATTTAAGTGTCTTCTGTCCACAGAAAACGTAGGCCATTTGGCATGCTTAACGTGTGCCTGATTCTCATACTCATTCGGGATAAAATATTCAGGTCCAAACAGCTGTAATTGCTTCCTCCTTCACTGTGTAGGAGGAAAGCTGGGTGCGGAGAGAGCTGCCTTCTGGCTGACTGCATCGATAGGCTTTCAAACCCTATCAGCACCACGAAGTCAGGAGTACTGATGCTGTTGGCGGCTCTGTCTTGGAGGAAGGTGAACAACTCCAGAGTGGTTTTCACAGTCCTCGGCTGAACGTGCCTGTCGCCCTAAGCACGATGCACTGGTTGAGCAGCTTGTCGGAAATTCACAGCCTTAGGCTGCACGTGGTGACAAAAGGGCCTGCCTTAACAACAAGGTCTTCTGTTAATATCTGCAAATTTGGGATAACTAGAGTCACTCCAGAGCAGTGAGCTAACACATGGTTCTCCTTAGCAAATGATGTCTGGGGCAAGGACATTTAGAACAGCCAAATCTTTAGCCCCTGAATGCTTGTCCTTGCTAGACAGGCAGGAGTGGTCAAGCAGAGTCTCGTCTCTCTCCCTTTGCAGATCCTTTCCAGCCCTCTCCTGAGAGACCGAGTCAAGCACGGCAGGGCTTGCCCTTGGATTTAGACATCAGGGAATGCACTCATAAATAATAGATTCAAATGTTAATTAAAAAAATCTGCCACTGTCCCCAGCCATGCAGCAAGTGCACTTTGCCTGTGACAAAGAAAATCCATCCATTGCCATAAAGACATGGGGTAATATATTTCATCCGTCCTGCCTGCTCGCAAGAGTTCAGCCACCTTAGCACTGCTCAGCATTATTGAAAAAGACACGCGGCAGAATAGCCATAACAATGAAATATTTTAATCTACCCCCAGGTCTGTAGGAGTATATACTTTATCTCAAATAATAGGTAACCGCTTCTGAAATAAATATTGTGGTACGACTGCAAGCAGGTGTTTTAGTCTTTTGTGCTGAGAACTATGTGCCAGGCTATTCCTCTGCATAACAGGATAGTTCGATGCTGGGAGGG